ATGCTTGTTGAATGAACCCATGAATGAATGGGAGTGATGATTGGATGTCTGGGTGAGTGATTATGTGGTTATGTGAAAATCGTGTGATTATGAGAATATGGGCCTTGCACTTTTTGTCTTTGGAGCTCTCCACTGGAGATCTTACATGATTTTATCACTGTAAGCAGGTGTATATGTATACACCTGCATATTTCACATTATGTTAAATAGTAGGTACACTGTGATACCACTCATTATAATTTGACATGAATTTGGCTGTACTGGGGGTAAAGCAAGCCTCTCTTCTCAAGTGCAATGGTGTTATAAAGTGACTCTGACACAATATATTTTTTAGGTCCTGACCATAGTCTAGTGTATATACTCTAAGACACTCAAGAATTTCACCATAAGGCTGAGTTGGGTAGACGTATTGTTTTGTGTTGAATGTAAGTAGGCCTAGTTATTAAAGTATCACTAGGATCCAAATGCAAGATAGGGTTTTGTGTGGGTTTTTTTTAAGATTTTATTTATTTATTTGATAGAGATCACAAGTAGGCAGAGAGGCAGGCAGAGAGGGTGGGGGGTAGGTGGGTGCTGAGCAGAGAGCCCAATGCGGGGCTCGATCCCAGGACCCTGGGATCATGACCTGCACTGAAGGCAGAGGCTTTAACCCTTTGAGCACCCAGGCACCCCTTCATAGGACTTTCTTAATCTAATGCATTTAAAAGATTGGTCAGTGAGTTAGTGGTAAAGCATAGGAAAGATTCTTTGTATCTTGGTTTTGGTTTACTGCTTTTTCTGGATAACTTCTTTTTTGAGGGATAAAGTCTAAAATGACTAATGTGACCTATAAGACTGTACCCCTCTCTAGACTCTTCTCATGCCACTCCACCCTCACTTAATAGTCTTGCCACTTTAGCCCTTTTTTGTTTTTTTGAAATCTTATCTACTTTTCTACCTCAGAGCCATAATAATCAGTATTCTTTTTTCTGGAATGTTCTTTATAACCTTTCCACCTGGATAATTCTTACTTAAAGTATTACTTCCTTAGAGAAGCTATTTTGATTCTCCAGACTATGTTACATACCTTTGTCCCATCATCTTTTGACATTCTGTATTTTTCTTTTTTAGCACATAACCATACCTAACCATAATTCATAATTACTGTCTAAGCATTTAGTTAATATCAGTTTTTCTTTTTAGCTCCGTTAAGGCAGGGACTATTTCAAAGTTGCTTGTTGTTGCACCTCCGGTTTTTAGCATAATGTTTAGTTAATGGTAAGCATTTGATAAAGATTGACTATGGAACAGATTCATCAATGCTGGAATGTGCCTGCAAGGTGTAATGGTTGGTTCATCATACAGTCATTTCTACTTTAAATGGTGATGTTGAATGAGTGTTCTTCTAATACCAGTGCTAATTAGTTATGCTGTCTTGATGTGGTACTTCTCTTTTGTAGTCTTCCGTCCATCAGCGGAATGTGGAGGTGAGACTAGACTAAATAATCTAGAAGACTCCTTCAGTTTTGGGGCTAAGTATGGCATTTTTCAACGTACCAAAACTCTTAATACTGGCTACTTTATTAAACCTAAACTAATGGTAATACAGGTGGAATATTTTTAGCCATAAAATAGTAAAAGCATTTCTTAAAATGCTCCCATAAAATATGAGTGATTTTATGATTTTGAAAAAAATATTTAGCTAGGCTCATTTTTTACATGAATGCACTGTATGTCTTTTATATATCTTGGATAAAGAAATAATATCCCAAACAACCACTGAACATTTTTCAAAATTGAAATGGAAAAAAATCTATATTTACAGTAACAGTCTTCACCAAAGTTTACATGTTTATGAGACTCTGGCTAAGCCTGTTAGAAGCTTTACTACACTGTTGGTTTTGTAAACCTCAACTGTGTTTGGAAATGAATATTCATCATTATATCACTGTGACTGTGGACTGTGATCTCCGAATCCTATCTGGAATGGCACTTTTGTAAACTCTTATGCCATAGTTAATTAGAGTTTAACCTTTCTTTTTCCCAAACCATTAGCCCACAAAGGAGTTTTTGAACTAAGGCTATTTATTTGAATAACTCATATTTTGTGTTCTTCCAAAAAAGGATACAGCAACATTTAGAGAAACTTAAAGTTCATAACTAATTAGACTGAGAAGAAAAATCGGTACTACCCCACAGTTGCTGCTCAACAGCAGAATTTGTGTCAGAAAAGTTTGAGATAGGTGACTGAAGTTAGCAGTTATTGAAAAACTTTCTAATTAACATTTTAACAAATGACTTCAAAAGAATAATTTCTGGCGAAACAGCGTAATTTAATCTAGGCTGGGCTTATTTTCCTTTTTTTTTTTTTTTTTAACTCAGCAGCATAAAATTAGTTGTTATATACGACAAATATCATCACATACCACTTCTGTTGCCTCATTTGTAGAGAATATCTGTCCTTCCTAACAGCCAGTGATTTTATATAGTATGTTAATCGTGAAAACATTGATTGGTTATCTTTCATGTGCAAGACACTATTTTTGCTGCTACGCATTCAGCAATAATCAGGTGGATGGTGACTTCAGTAAGCTTACAGTCTATCCAACATGATAAGATGTGTGCGCACAACTAAACACAGGTTTAAAAAAAAGTGGTAAGTGGCACAAAAAAGGTGCACATTAGATGTTCAGGGTCTATATCTTACATCTTCTCCAAAACCATATGCTTGTTGCAAGACTTTGAATCCTCCCCAGCTTCTAACACAGAGACTTGCATATAGAACATTTTCAATTAACGTTAGCTTAGAAGATGAGGTGTCTTGTGAAATCGTTTGGTAAACCTGCTCCTATTCAGTGAATGGCATTCTTTTTTATCTAGGTCAGATCTGAAGTCTTCAGTCTGAAAAGCATGGTACTTACATCTAAAATTATATATTTTGTTAGACAGGATGTGACAATTTTTACTTTCATGAGCGCCTTCTATCTTTATATTGGGCTCTGTTTTCTGGTTTTTATTTCAAGGCTTATTCTACTCAATCTTATCTGGTATCCTACTGTCCAGCTGACCCACCTCTGTAAATTCATGGCATGTGGCTATGCTGCTTCTTGCCACGCACGGTCAGTGATCACAGCTCACAAGGAATTCTGAGGAGTCTCAGCACTTCTGGGGTCTTTCCTCTTAGGTACAAACCACTAGAAAGCGATATGAAATAAATGGTTATCAGAGCTTTAGAGGAAGCAATTTACAGTATTTCTAAAAAGCAAGAAATGTCTGTATTGTTCAATCTGAAGATTTTCCGAATTTAGTCAGCTTTCTAAAAAATAGATTTGTTCCTGAGGGTTTGTTTTTCTGTGTTGTTGTTGTTTTTTTTTTTTTTCACTAGTTGAAGTTCCCTGGGAAGTCAGCATTGAGTAAAATTGACTTTCTTCTGATCTTGTGAATTATAGAGGGAAAATGAAGGCATAAATGATACGTAAGGACTCTTGCCTCTCTAAGATTCCATGACTCTTTAATACTCAGTAGGAGGGCATATTGGTCATGATAGCAGATACTGTGTGGCGGACACTTTCTCAGCTCTCAACCGTCTTCACTCCATTCAGTAGAAAACTTTTCAGTGGCTTTATCCAAGCAGAAAAATTTCAGAAGCTTCACTTGCCCCCGCCCCTTTGAAGACACCTGGCTGCATTTCAAAGGAAAAGGATACCACAGAGTAAAAAGGAAACAGAAGAGGTAGCCTTTTCTCCCCCTAAGTTCTAGCAGTTTGACTGACTCTTACTTGTGAATTTTTCTTGCCACTGAGTCATTGCACATACAGAATTATGAAACTTTAATTTCTTTAGAGGCTTGTTATATTAGAAAAATTGTTCCAAAGAAAGCAACAATCATGACATAAGCACATCTGGCTCTTGCAAATTATTCTTTATTAAGCTTTCATTTAATTACATGTGCTGAAAGGTCTGTTTTTGATTACTGTAATTTTTTTTATTTGTCCATCTGAATGATAGTAATGCTGGAAATTACACACAAACCACCTGTTTTTTTTTTCCCCCCTTACTAATATAGCAAAGTTTGAGCTATTTTCTCTGTGGTTGATGAACTAGGAAGCTTTCTATTTATTATGCTAGAAATATGACTATCAAGGTAATGGCTTAATCTTGATTATAAGAAGAAAAGAAAATATTTGAGTGGAGTTTCCAAGCATTAAATAGTGTGAGGACTGAGGTATCAGAATTCTGGTTAACCATAGCAGGTTAACACATTCATTTATTACCAGTTTCACCCAAAAGCTATTAATCAACAGTTAGGGATTTAACATCCTGTGTTGGAAAAAGAAGCTTTATTTTATTTCGTTTCATTTCATTTCATTTCATTTCATTTCATTTTTTGGTCTATAATCTGGCCATATTCTCTTGAGGATTATTTTATAGGCTGCTGAGAAATAAGACCTCGAGGAAACAGTGACTGCTGTTGGGCCTCCGGGATCTTTAGGGCAGCATTCTTATCATCCAGAAGGATCAGCATCCCCAGAGGGGCTTGTATTGGATAAGAACAATGTTCTTCCAGGAATCCCTAGGAAAGTTCAGATTAGTTACTTAGTTCATGAATATTAAAATTACATGAATGGACATACTGATATTTGAAGAACTTTTTATAACAATTTTAGGCACTAGAAAGAATCATAGAAACCATTTAGTCAAATTCCTTTTTGTACCGAAGAAACTGAGTTCTAGAGCAACCAAACTCTTTCTTCAGGTCCATAAAGTGATTGCCAGAAGGACCAGGAACAGGACGATGGCTCTCATGCTAGTACTCTTTCTTTATATTATTTGGTCTCTCTTATTTCCTCTTTAAAAAAGTAGTGAAAGAGAAATTGCAAGGCTGTCAGAGAAGTAGTTATCTAACAATATGGTAAGTTTTTTTGTTTTGTTTTGTCTTGTTTTGATTTTCCACTTTTTGTTTCGTGAAACTCAATTTCAGCTGCATTTAAAAAGATAACGTTTGTCTTCCCTGTTTTGCAGCAGCTCTATGCAGCTCAGCTGGCCAGCATGCAGGTGTCACCTGGAGCAAAGATGCCATCGGCTCCACAGCCACCAAACACAGCAGGGGCAGTCTCACCTACCGGGATAAAAAATGAAAAGAGAGGGACCAGCCCTGTAACTCAAGTTAAGGTACTTGCTTTGCAGGATTGTGAAAACAGTTTGGAAAACAGCTTCACAAGAAAAGTAGTGAACGAGACTGGGATGGGAATCAACAGCAGGAAGCATAGCAGCATAAAGGAACCCCAAATGCTCCTCATTATGGTAAATTTCATGATTGAGCACTGAGAAACAGGTGTTTCCCTTTTGATAACAATAGTGCCATATTGTGAGATCTTTACCTAAATCTGCAAACTCACTTCTCAGGAGTTTTTCCCCTTTGGATTCTGGCTTTTATTTTTTAATGTTCACTGGCATGAATGGCCATGGTTTTATTGCCAGTCTTTGTCATAGACTGTGACATTTTCTCTCAAAGTTCCTTAAACAGGTGGGAGCCAACTTATAGTATCAGGAAAGGAGGTTCTCAAAACTTTAGATTTAAGAAAAAGGGGACGGAAAAGAATCTATGGCTGAACTTCATATAGTTTGTTGATGAAGGTCTCTCCTTCAGGAATAGTTAATGTGGCTCTGAGGAATGAGTGGTGTCATTATCTATTCATTCTTTGATGCCTTGTGGTTGAGAGGATAAACAGGCTCTCCCAGGTTATGGCTAGGACAGTGATAGAGGCCTTTCCTCACTAATTCTCAGTGTCTTAAAACGTGGCACCTGGGCAGCATTTGGCGACAGAGGAAAATGGATGATATGCTCCAACTTTGTGCTGCAGCTGGTACCTATAGGTGGTACTGGTTGGTTTTTATAATATAGTTCAGAGAAACAATTGCTTTGTATCATTGACTTATCTACTTAGAGGCATATGATAAGCACAGAGGTATTACAATAATACATTACAATAATGTACCCAAAGTACTACATTTGGAGAAACTTTGCAATTATTAAATTTTCGCAAGGGAAACATCTAAGGCCAACAAAACAGCATCAAATGCTACAAAACAACTGAAATTATTTTATTTTCTATAATGTGCAGATAGGAATTAATTTAATGCCACCCATGCTTTAAATTCTCCAGAGAAATAGATGAACATTTATGCTTTGTTGTTAGAAATATTGAGGTATGACAATAGGCAGCTTACATTTAATAAGGTAACATTACTTAGGGAAACAGGCTGTCTCTTTTGTGTTCTAAGAATTTCTGTTTGTGAGTAAGAGGCAGAACACTACAACTCAAACCAAAGCACTTTGTTTAATTATAGTTGTTAGAATATGAACATATCAAACATTTTTTACTTCAGATATTGGGTATTAGATATTTTAACATGAAAAAGTCATTTTGTAAGTGAGTTGGCCAAATGGAACTGCACCAAACCAAGTCTTTACTGGATGAGTAAAATGTTCCCTGGTTAAATTCAAGTTTACATCTGCTTTTACCATTCCAGCTTTGTGGGCCAACTGAGTTTTATTACTCACTCCACCACATGCAAATTCTTAGGGAGTTCTCTATATAATTTGACTTGACTATATTTTATGTTAATAACAAAGGAAACATTCTTTATGCTTACTGTATTGTTTATTGTATGTGTGGGTAAAAATATATAGATCAGGGCATGAAGCAAATTTTTTCAATTAAAAAAAAATAGATTCTACCTATTACTGAAGAAGTTCTGAGAATAATCTCATGAATTGGTAATTGAACGGATTATGGTCACTAAAATATAATTCTGTCTATAATCATTGCTTTCCCTCTGTATATAACATGACCACATGACATAGGGCACATTTTGCTGAAGGTAGCAAAATTAAACATAGGTGGTCTTATACACCTTCTTTCACTTGGAATTTTTATCTGCTATAATTATCAACATCAGAAATCAGAATTTTTTTGGTTCAAATTTTAGTTCTACCACTTTTACCATCTGTGTCACTTTGGGCAAGTTACTTCTTTCAGCCTTAGTTTTCTGCTCTGAAAAATGAGAGTTAATATTATGGGCCTTAAACCCTCTAGCATATAGTGAGTATTCTATAAATGTAAGTGTAGTAATGATTGTGATGATGATGATCTGGTGAAGATGATGGTGGTGCTGGTGATGGCGGTTGTAATTGAACTACCATTTGTATAACAAAAGAGAGCCTAATTAAATACCTAGAGGATTTCCATTTTCAGCTGTAATGGAGGAACAGGGATCAGAGTTAGTCTCCAGCTTAAGCAACTGAAACACAGGACAAAATATATAAAACAATGATTCTCAGACATTTGCAATACGACTAGAGGACAATGATTCCTGAGAGAAGAGAAACAAATGAGGCAAGTACTACAGTTATTCCAGCTTACTGTCTAGAGGTAGTTTCTAGGTCATAGTGCAAAGACGGGTACCCACATGGAACATGGCAGGCTCTCTGAGTAGAGACATAGAGTTCAGAGTTTTGGGATACCAAGGTAGGCAGAATTTGTGAGGTAGAGTACCAAGGAAGAGAGAGCTGCTCACCGAGAGAATACTGAAAATCTGTAGGAGATTCCCCTGTATTTAGCTGAGTATTGATCGGCATATGCATATGAGGAAACTCTCTGAGGAATGAGGAAAATACCAGATGTAGCAGGCAAAGCACCTGCAAGATTCACAAATGACTGAGAATGATTTGTGTTCACATTAGCCAGAGTGGAAAGATCTTCTGACATAAGGGGTATCAAGTAGTATTGCCCAAAGGGTGATACCTCAGTAATGAGGCCAAATTATCCCTAGATTAGTGGCTTCTCTGAACCTACCTCACAAACTTAAAAGCAAGCCTAGAAAGGGCCAAACTTTTCTATGTCTCAGAACAAAGTCCACAAAGATTTGAAAGAATTCATGAACATGAACTCCAACATCTAGCAATGTAAAATTCATAGTGTGTAGCATCCATTCAATAATTACCAGGCTTTTATAAAAGCAAAAAAATATGAATAATAATAGGGAGAGAAATCAATCAATAGAAACAGATCCCAAAATGGCACAGATGATAGAGTTAGTAGTTAAGACAGTAGTTAAGACAGCTACTACAGAGTCGCTGAGCTATAGCCAAATGAAGAGATAGGCAAATCTTGCTCCTAGAAAACACCCATGGGATTTCTGTCAGGCCAGGGCATGCTATGAGAACCAATATTGGGCCTGCCATGGTGAAAAAGAATTTACTTGATTGGGAGTTGGTAGATGCTTCCCATTCATGCCCAGCAGTATTGTTGGCAGAAGTGGCAATCATTGAATTATAAAAATAAATAATCAGGGTATATTTAAAGCTGGGAAAAATAGATGTTATAAGCTCTATATGTTTAAGAAGATAGAAGAAAACATGAGCATTATAAGGTAGGATGTAGAACACATCCATGGAATGCCTGGGAGATGAGAAATATGGTATTTGTTTGTTTGTTTTTGTCTTTGTTTTTGTTTTTAATTAATTTATTTGACAGAGAGAGAGAGCACTAGTAGGGGGACTGGCAGAGGCAGAGGGAGAAGCAGGCTTTCCACTGAGCAGGGAGCCCAATGTAGGACTTGATCCCAGGACTCTGGAATCATGACCTGAGCCTAAGCAGACGCTTAACCAACTGAGCCATCCAGGCACCTGAGAATTATAGTTTTTGAGATGAAAATTGTACTGGACTAGTACTGATGGGATTAGACATCAGAGAAGGAAAGATTAGTGAACTTGATGACAGAATGATGAAACTATCCCAAATGAAATATATAGAAAGAAGACTGTCAGTGCTGTGAGACATCAACTGGCCTAATGTGTGCGCCCAGAACCCCAGAAGGAAAAGGAAGGAATAGAAAAAATATATTTGAAGAAGTAATGGATGAAAATTTTCCAACTTTGAAGAACAGTCTGAACTCAGATACCTAAGAAGCTCAGTGAACCCCAATAAAACAAACATGGAGGAAACTAGATACCTAGCATATAAGTCACTATTATTTAGATAGAAGTAAAGGAACTAATTAGTCTAAATATCCTTTGAGTGAAGAGTAAAGATAAGTAAACTGTAATCAAGCACATAAGACATTTTTAACATGCGTAATGATGCAGTCATGTTTCCTAAGACTCCATCCTATGTCTAGATATAAAGATAAATGCACATTGCAACAGAGATGTGCCAGATTATCTATTTCCCACCAAGACAAAAAAAAAAAATTCACTACATTATCAAATGACTTATTTTCTTTGATAGTTTAATAGAAAAGGGACCTGGGATTTGGAGTCCAGTAAACTAGAGTTCAGATGTTGTCCTTCCATGTATGACTCTGAACAATGATTTTGTCACTCTGACCCTTCCTCCTTTGTGAATTTAGAATAATACTACCCAACCTCATAAACTTATAGACTTATAGTTAAATGAACTAATATATGTGAAAATATCTAGCACAGTGCTTGGCTTCTCTGTCCATGTTGTTTCTATGTTCTCTCTCTAATCTTCCTCCTGAGTAGCCTTTTCTGGAATCTCTTTCTGTCCTCCCTTAAATGACCATGGTACTAGGGGAGAACTTAGAGATTAGCTAGGATCAGGCTCTCTTCCCAAAGGGGAGAATGTTCTGTTTCCAAGCTCTATTGTGTTTTAAAAAGTGACATTAATAAAATTCTCTGTGCCTTCTCAGAAGCAAAACAGAAGTTAACATTTGCTGACAATTTTACTGTAGAACACAATAATATAGATCTTAAAACTATACATTTAAATGAGTATGTTTATATTACAACTAAGTTTCTAAAACAATGGACATGTTGTTATATATCTTTAACTACAGGATGAACGAGACAAAGGCAAGGAGTTTAGCTTTCAAGCTCCTGGTTACACTAGAGTTACAAGTCAGATACTTGAATACTGTGCCCATATAGAAGGACAAGCATCTTAAAATAGACATTCTGTAAATATACGTAGCAAAGAATATAAAGAGACATTACTTTAGACATGAAAAATAAATTACATATAGCATGGTATGTAAAACTTAATTATAATGTGTGCTTTCTCTTTGCAAAAATTAATTTTAAACCTGAATAGAGACCAGAATTTAGACCATGAGGGGTGTCCACACCCAGAAAGCCACATAGAAACCATGCTGTGGCATGTGGCTCCCTGGGCAGAGGCCCAGGAGAGCAGAAGAAGCCTGTGTTTCCATTTTTAAAGTACTTGCAATTGTTTGATTTAAAATATATATTAAAAAATTAGCTGCAGAGCCTATTTATAGTTGCAGGAACTTTTCAGAGAGAATAACACAAAAGCACTACAGAGCTGCTGAAATTTTAAATAATTCTTTGTAAATGCCCTAGGTTAATTTAGATCCTTGAAAACACATTAGGAAATTAAGCTGTAATGTGAGCTAATTCAGATTTTAATTTGGCAAAAAGAATGATCCAACTACACAGTTAATGTAAATAGAAGCATAACACAGGGAAATTAATGAGGTTTCCTTCCGATGAATCTTCAAGGAGGTAGATAATTAGCTTCTTTTGTTATTATTGTAGGGGAATGTGGCATTGTCTCTGAGGTGTAAAATAACTGTGGCTTACTAAGTGATAATGTGCTTCATTTGTCTTTTTTTTTTTAATAATTATTTATGTTAAACTCTTGTAGGATGAAGCAGCAGCACAGCCGCTAAATCTCTCTTCCCGACCCAAGACAGCGGAGCCTGTGAAGTCCCCAACATCTCCCACCCAGAGCCTCTTCCCAGCCAGCAAAACCAGCCCCGTTAATCTGCCTAACAAAAGCAGCATCCCCAGCCCCATCGGAGGAAGCCTGGGAAGAGGATCCTCTTTAGGTAAATGGAAAGGTCAACACGAAGAGATTTCTGAATTAGGTAAAAGAAAGCAAACCTGTTCAGGGATGACTGATGCCTGTTTCCAAAGTGGTCCTTAGTCCAAGGGGGACAAAAAGAAAAAGTAAAAGTAAAATCCTTTCTACTGAAACGTAACCCCTCTTGGTATCTTGGGTGATTAGAACTTTTGGAAAAGGTCATAATATAAATCCTTTGGGATGGGTTCTTTAGAGGCCGCCGTTAGATGCAGCAAATCAGAGACTTGGGGATTTCTGTGCTTGGTTAATGCTTTGCCACTGAAGTAACTCTAGGCAGACAAGAGTGATCATGAACCCTCCAAGGGCCTAAAGGGACCTCGCCTCCACGCTGCCTGCCAAAAGTCCAAAGTTTCTTTGAAATTTTATATTTTCTTTTTAAAATGTATGTGAATTTTGTGTCTTATCCCATATTAGTTTTGCATTAAAACAAATGTGAATGACACACACACTTCAATGACATAATATGAAATAAAATTGATATTTGATAAGATATGTCAGAATGATCCTCGGGCTTCTAACACTCTCTGATATATTGCCAAGTATCTCCAGGGACACTCATAGACCAGTGAGAAGGATAGAGGGAAAACATGGGTTTTGGCTTCAGACAGACTTGGACTCAGAGCCTACACTTACTTGTTATGTGACCCTGGGAAAGTTACTTAATATTTTTGAACTCAGTTTCCTAATCTCTTAGAGGGGAATATTATTACCTAGCTCATAGTTTGTTATGAGAATTCAGGGAGGAAAATGCATATAAAATGCCCAGCACAGTGTCTGGCACCTCAAAGGCATACAATCTAAAAAAAACTAGACTGAACCAATACCAACACATTTACATATACATGTGGAATGAAACAATAAAGGTGAAAGCATTTGTCAGCAGCAGAGTGCCAAATAAGTATTAACATGTTGTTACTAAGCCTCTTAATTTTCATATGAGACACAGAGATAACAAGGGATTGGGGGCTCAGAATTACGTTTCTTCACCGCATTACCTTCTTTGCCTTATTGAGTCCTGGAGCCTGAAACGCTTATTATAATAAACAAAATAATGTGTTACGTGTAACCATTTGCCGTTGAAAAGCCATTTTTGACTATATTATCTCATCTGATTTTTCACAAATCATCTTATGACATAGTGCATTATTACCCTCATTGTATGATGAAGTAAATGGATTCTTACAGGTAAAATGGCTTGCCCAATGCCATGTAGCTATGAATGAGTAAAGCCAAGACTAGAATCTGGGTCCTCTCACCTGAGTTAAATAAACTCAGTGTTCATTTTTTGTGAATTCGCAGTTGGAGTATTTGCTGTACTGTGTTGGGTTTAAGTAAATCTTCTGATGGGGAGATATACCTCTTCCTTATTAAAACTTGGGATATTAGGATCCATAAAGCAGCCTATTCTCATTTTGAGTCTGGCTGCCTCTGCAGAGGACCGGGAGGTTTTCACTCCATGTCCGTGAAATTCATGTGGGAGAAAGAAGGGAGTCATTTCCAGTATGTGAATATGGTTGCTGGGTTGTTGGAAGTTGTGAGATAAGAGAGAGGGGAAAAAAAAGCCAACTTAGGGACAAATAATAGGCTTGATCTTGAAATGGCTTTAATGGCTTTCCCATTGTCCACTGCTGAATTTTGTTTGGTCGGTATTTGTTTGCTCTACAGGGCATTGTGAGGGACAAAGATGAGTATGTCACAGGCCCTGCTCTTAGAGAGTTTATACATCAGCAGAGCAGATTTCTTAGATCATAAGCTAGAAATGGGATGAAGCAATCACAATTTCGTTCAGATGGTGTTGGATAGAAATGTTCTGTTTGCTTTTTATCAGAAAATCTACAGAGCAAACGCTGAGGGGTTTTCTATATCCTAAGAAGCAACTATTTGACCGTTAAACAATTTACTATAGATAGCCTTGGGAATTTTTTCTAGACTCACGCATATACACATGTAACACACACACACACACACACACACACACACACACACACACGCATGGTGTGGACTTGACTCTAGTCTGGTTTCCTCTGTTCTGTCTGAGGTGTATGCGTGTGGACACACATGCATGTGCGATGAAATGTTCACACGAGGATACAAACAAGTGGATTGCATTAAACTTGACCACAGCAGCTGAAATCGATCAGTCAGCAAGCAGTTGCCTTCTTTTGGTCTAAGAATTGGAAAAGCTTGTGTAAAGTATTAATTTTAACCCACAGTAAAATGCAAGATACTGAAGAAAATTAGGCAGTTTAATTTTTTTGTTCTGTCTGAGTTGTATGGAATATAACGAAAGTAAATATTTGTTCTCACTTTATTTGAAGCTTTGTACTGATGTGAAAACCATTCCCACACATACAGCCTCTCCCTCAGGAAGACAGGGAGCTGAGAGCAGTAGGTGTTCGGCTCGGGGTAGGGAATGGGTTGTCATTCTCTGGGTAAATAACTGAGGCAGCATGGTGAGTAGAATGCTTCATTAGACAGCCAGTGATTGGGGAATGGAGAGTGCAGCGCGTTCCTTCCCGCCCCCTCTCTCCTGCAGTGGACATAAGAACACACAGATAAAGATGTTGCTGAAGTACACATGTAGACTCACAGAATTTTCCTGCTAGGCCAGAAACCGCTTTCCTGCATTAGTATACCCAGTGTACCAGGCATCCTGAATAGATATCTCTGTACCTCTCCTCACCCCCTTCTTCCCTACTACTCCCCTACTAATTGTTAGATCTCACCAGAACACACACACACACACACACGTTGGCAGCTGGAATCTAGGAACCTTCCTCTGTGAGAAGGTAGGATGACAGGGCCCAGATTAACTGGAGTGCTGGGGTATCCTCCAAGGGCTGAAAGGCCAGCAAGTCTTGGTGCTCTCTGATTAGTACTGCGGTTTTCTTTTCTTTTCTCTTCTTTCTTTTTTCTTTTTTTAAAGATTTTATTTATTTATTTGTCAGAGAGAGAGAGAGAGAGTACACACAAGCAGGCTGAGTGGCAGGCAGAGGCAGAAAGAGAAGCAGGCTTCCCACTGAGCAAGGAGCCCGATGCAGGACTCGATCCCAGGACCCCAGGATCACGACCCGAGCTGAAGGCAGTGACCTAACCAACTGAGCCACCCAGGCGTCCCGTACTGCAGTTTTCTTAAGAGCAAACACACCCCTTCCTTGCTCAGAGAATGCAGCACTCTACAGGGGAGTGGGTAGTGGCAGTATTTTGTTAGCATCTAACCTCATTGGCTTCTAATAAAGCATCCTGTGTATGCAGATATCCTGTCCAGTCTCAACTCCCCTGCCCTGTTTGGAGATCAGGACACAGTGATGAAAGCCATTCAGGAGGCTCGGAAGATGCGAGAGCAGATCCAGCGGGAGCAACAGCAGCAACAGCCTCATGGTGTTGATGGGAAGCTGTCCTCCATGAATAATATGGGGCTGAACAACTGCAGGAATGAAAAGGTAAAACTTGCTTCCCTCCTTCACTGGCAGTATTAGATCCATTGGCTTATTCTCATCTGGCTCTTTCCAGGCAGCCAGAGAGCTGGGCTTCTAGCTTGGGGGCTGGTTTTTATCACTTTCAAGCATTACTGCCGATGAACACATACACCCTTTCCCACTTACTGTGGGGTTGCCTCCCACGCACCCAACCAGGCACCCAACCTGGCATTCACCCTACCTGCCTATTGGTGTTTTTCTGTCCCATTACAAAAGATTTAAAATGTTTTATAATGGAGGGGATATATGAGGTGATTAGAACGGGAATAGAAGGAGGAAGAAGAGTATATACTCATGATGAAGGCTACTGTTTTACTGTGACTCACCATTGAATTTATTACTAAGTTTCTTATCAGCCAGAGCAAAAAATAAAACAAAACAACTTACGAATGCATTCATTTATTTTTTGATTCAACAAATTACATATCAAGTGCTTATTCTGTAGTAGACACTGTTCTTGGCGTAGGAGATACAACAGTGAGCAAACCAGACAAAAATCCCTGCTCTCACAGAGCCTCTGCTATGATGGGGAAGCACAGATGACAAGGAGATCAACGATTAATAGACAATACAATGTCAGTAATATCAGGAGGTGAATAAAAGCCCTGAGAGAAATAGAAGCAAGTTAAGTAAGGAGTTAGAGCGTGTTCGTCTAGATGGGGAGGAAAGGACGCTGTGCGGAAATGACACTTGAAGGAGACCTCAGTGAAGGCATGGGCAGGCCGGGTGAAAAGTAGAAGGAAGAGCGTGCACGTAGCAGGGGTGATGCGTGGAAAGGCCCTTAGAGTGTACCAGCAACACGGAGACCCATGTGACAAGAGCCCAAGGAAGAAGAGCAGTTGGACAAAGTGATAGCCTGGGGTGACATGCTAGACCTTGTAGGCCCTGGAAAGGATTTGCATTTTATTCTAAGAGTGATGGGAATCCCCAGATGGGTTTTGTCCAGGGCAGAAACATGGTGTGATTTACATATAAAAGGATTATTCTGAATAGACTCCCGGAAGTTAAGAATGGAAACAGGGAGACCAGTTGAGAGGCTGTTGTAGTACACTGGGTGAGAAATTCTGATTATCTGATGAATAAGTGAAACATGCCATTTTTTAAAAAAGAGATGACCATATTTTCCCAGTGCCATATTCTGAAAGGTTTTTTGTTTTGTTTTGTTTTGTTTTTGTTTTTTGTTTGCTTGTTTTTAATGAGAACTGTAGAGGGACAAATGAGTAGCACAACGGGCAGTGTCTTTGGTAATGGTTTTAGAATAAATTTAAAAGTTATTTCCATTCATACATTTATTTGGTATAGGCTGAAAATAACTTATTAAATTAGGACCAAGAGTCTCCTCTTTGTTTCCATCCTTGCTAGCTCTAGCATGGGTGCTGTGTTAGACTCCATTCTTTCTAATAAACTTATACTTTCCTATTTCCTAGAAGGAGTCTTTAACTAGCATGTGGAAAAAATCATGAGACAAGTATAAGGTCGTGTGTTCTGTTACTTAAATATTTGAATATATAGCTATAATTAGGGTATCATTTATTTTTCTTTGTTTCCTCTTCAAAATGCAGGGTGATGTGACAGTCTGAGATTTTGGATGTATTCACTTCCTAAAGCTATAACAAGTGATCACAAACTAGACGGCTTAAAACAATACCAATTTATTTTCTCCCTATTCTGGAGACTAGTTTAAAATCAAAGTGTTGCCTGGGACTTACTCCTTCTGAAAATTCTAAGAAAGATTCCTTCTTTGCCTCATCCTGGTTTCTGATGGTTCTGGCAAGTTTTGCCATTCCTTGCCTTATAGCTGCATCACTCCAATTTCTGCTTCTGTCCACACGGCTGTCTTCAGTGTGTGTGTGTGTGTCTCCCAATCTCCCTCTTCTTAGAAGGGCACAAGTCATTGGGTTTAGGGTCCATTCTAATCCAGTGTGACCTCATTTTAATTTGATTACATCCTCAAAGACCCTGTTTCCATTTAAGTTCACATTCACAGGGACCGAGGGTTAGGACTTGAAGATATCTTTTTGGGGGACACAATTCAACCAATTACAGTGGGATACAGAACCATTCCTCATGTTAAATTAACCTCTAATTCTTGATTGATCTCCTATACTCTTTAGCCATTCTAGCAGATGACTGGAGTTCTTGGGCTGGGAAGGAGTTTAAGGGGATGGACGTATGATAGAATTCTCAAACTATGAATGTGATTAGTCCTTACATAGACTAGGAAGCCATTGTTGATTTCCCAAAGCTTAGTGAAGAATTTCATTGTGTCCTCATTGCACTGACTTATGAAGGTTAACATCAAACAATCAATAAAAAATTGGTCACTATTGGACCCCTTTGCCTTTATTGATCCTCTTGGTGGGAGGTTCAGATCAGGTAGGAGAGAAACTATTTAGGGAAATATGGGTCTTTTGGTGCCTATTAAGCCATAAACTTTTATAAACTTGGGCCTCATCATGCACACACCATTCACTGGATCTGCTTAATCAACTTAAGTGCCCCATCCTCACGAGGCAGAACCCCTTCAAGATCTGCCTGGATAGATGGTTACATATAGAGTGAGGTCTCAGGACTACAAGAGTAGAAGATCCTTGCCCCCAAACCTCTTCTACCATTCTGATATTAGAGATCAACACAGTCAATCTTTTAGTCTTTGATATTATATTCTCAGTGAGAACACCATGAAATAACATATTAAATCTTGATGTGAATTATGTTATAAGATCCTTTTGGGGGATCTGAGTGAGCAAAGAAGTTTTGGCGTAGAGATATTGAGTGAGAAATGGGGTTAACAACAACAGACCAGATACGTACACTTGGGACCATCCACTTTACTCTTTTGTCAAGGGTTAATCCTAAAATTAATCTGAGAAGTACATCAGTGATGTATTTGAAAATTTTTTAATTTATTAGTTTTCAAATGAAAGTAATATGTTTATTGGAAATCCTAATACAGAAAAATATATGGTAAAAATTTATTTATCCTCTTTATCCCATTAACTATTAATGATTCCAAAGTTTTCTTTGAGTAGTAACAACCATTAGTGATTCTGAAATTTTCTTTGTATAGATGAGAAAGTATTAATGAGTTTTGAAATAAATATTCTCACTTGGAATAGTAGTCACTGAGTTGTCACTTACCATCTGTGTGATATTTGGTAAGTTGATTACCCTCTCTGAATCTCAGTTTCTTCATCTATAATATGAGGATAATAACGTGAGTTACAATGAAATAAGATGGATGTGAAAACACCTAGTATGGCTCCTGGTAGAGTGGGAATTTTCTTATGTTTCCTATACCTTTTAACTAAATCACAGGTGACCTTGAATATAGAGAACAAATATACTATTTTGTCACAGTTAAGAGGTCCTCACACAATAATTGGAAGGTCAAAAGAAAGAAACAGCATATTTTTCAGATTTTGGAATTTTGGCTAACTCACATAGTTAAACTCTTTTCCAACTGAGTTGCTACCCAAAGCTATGGAAGCTTGAGGTTGATTAGATTAGATCAGCGTTTCTCAATCTCAGTGTTACTGACTTTTTTTTTTTTCTTTGACTTGATAATTCTTTGTCATGGTGGGGGGTACTATCTGGCCCCTACTCATTAGATGCTAGTAACACCCCTCCCTTTGCTGACAACCCAAAATGTCTCTAGACATTGCCAAATGTCTTCTGTTGGGGGAGGAAGGAGACTAGGGCCCCTAGCTGAAAAATCACTGGACTAGATAAAATGTATTTAGAATTAATACATCTCAGAAACTTCATTCCACAAAAAAAAAAATCATTTAAATAACCATTCTGTTATTAAATTATGAAAATCATTTGCTTTTGATTAATGCTCTGAATGAAATATTTCTTGGAAAAATGCATCTAGAAATTTTTGTTCAGAATGCTAGCATAGAGAATCTTTAAAACATAATGTGTCCCTATGCCATTTAGTTTGAGGGAGTAGTGAGAAATAAATTCAGTATTGTTACAGCAACTCTGCCATTGACTGAAGGCCATCTGTCATTCCAATCAGGCTTGGAAGAGAGCATCCTAATCCACGTGCACCACACCTAGTAGTAAATTGGCACTGGGTGTACATTGCCTCCAGCAACGAATCTCGGTTTGTCTGACACCATGACTCTGTATTGTTGAATTTGTATCATCAGTTGGAGTTAGTGTTCAAACTTAAGACACTACTAACTTCAAATATTAGAAGTTAATGTTAAATGTTATTCATTGACTTTTCTTAATTCATTTGGAAGGGAGAAGTCTGAGGTACTGAAATAACCTTATTTTGCTTTGTAAGACTTGGGAAAGAGATGAGAGATTAGGTTACAATTTAAAAAAAACTAATAAATCCAAATTTGACCTAAAATATGTCACACTGAATATAATGAAGCCCCTGAGGGTAAGTGGAAAAGTAGTTTCTGTAGAACAAGAAAACTCTGGTTTCCTGGTTGAAGAGAGCTGTCTCTGTAGATGACTTTACTGGGGTTGCATTTTAGGCACTGGAAAAGACGAACATAATGGAAGAATCCATTATATTCCTCTATGTACAAGGAGAGTTCACAAGACCTCCTTAACATGATCTGCTTCCCAGTAATTTCACTGTTTTGAACATGTATTTTGTGGGTTTATAGGCTTTGTTGAGTTTCTAGAGCTGATATCTGTCCTTGCTTGTTAGGCTAGATGCAGAAAGAAGAGTAAATTAAGAACAGCATTATGGTAGCTCTGGCTCGCTCATAATCAAAATATCCATCTTAATTTTATGAGGTTCCATGGGATACTGATTTTTCTTGTGAGGATCAGATTTTCTTCTGAGGTCAAAGAGGGTAAATATATAATGTGCAATAAGATGTGTGAAATGGATTGTGACAAATTCAATTTAAGTGTCTTCAGAATTGTTCACTTTGGAATTATCTGTTTTCTTAAATATAGAGATCCATAAATTAGATTTACGAATTTGTTCTTTG